AATAAAGAGGTTGATTTAGTTGTCGTATCATCCTTGAGGGACCAAGCGGGGATCCATTTCTAGCGATTCTGCCTCTCACATGCTTTCCTCTATACCACACCACCTTAAACAGAATTTTCATCCAAGACAACATCTAAGTAAAGTAGGTGATAAGCGAGGGAAGGAAGGAAGAAGGGAGGGAAGGAGGGAAAAGAAGAAAAGGGAGAGGGAGGCAGGGAGGGAGCGGAGGACAGACTGACAACTGTCCATAACAGCAGTGACCATCATAAAGCATCTAGGGATAAACTTAAATTATAAATTATTGAAGATCTCAAATTTCTGAAGAAATACAATGTTCACATATAGGAAAACAGTATCAAAAAATATCCACTTTCCCCAAACTAAACTAAATATTCAGTTTAATTATAATAAAAAAATTAAATGGACTTTTTATGACATTTGATAAACTGATTCCAAAATCCATATTTAAAAAAAAGCCAAGTGCTGCCCTGGCCGGTTTGGCTCAGCGGTTGGAGAGTCAGCCTGCGGTACAGAGAGACCCGGGTTCGGTTCCCGCTAAGGGCATGTACCTCGGTTGCAGTTTGTCCCCGGCCCTGGTTGGTCGTGCGGGTGGCAGCCACTCGATGTGTCCCTTCACATCGATGTTTCTCTCTCTCTCTCTTCCTCTCTCTCTGAACAAAAAATGGAAAAATGTCCTCGGGTGAAGATTAAAAAAAAAAAAAAAAAAAAAGCCAAGTGCTGGCCAGTGTGGCTCAGCTGGTTGGAATGTCATCCTGTGGACAGAAGGCCGTGGACCTGATTCCCAGTCAGGACACACATCTAGGTGGCATGTTCGATCCCTGGTCAGGAGCATGCGGAAGGCAGCCTATGGGTGTTTCTCTCTTACACAGATGCTTATTTCTTTCTTTCTCTCTCTCGCCATTCTTCTAAAAAAAAAAAAATCAATTAAAAAAAAAGCCAATAAGAAGAAATTTTTGAAAAATAAAAACTGGGTTAAGGAGACTTCCTCTACTTATAGAGTAAATTTGCTGCTGGTATACAAACAAAGAAACCAGTGAAACAGAACAGAGAGCTCAGAAAGGAGCCCACACAGTGGAAGCGAGACACAGGACAGAGGGCGCTGCAGGTCAGTGGTGGGGGAGGATGGCACTCGGGCAGGACGGCTGGTAAGGAAAAGGAAACCTCATCTCTGCCGCATACTACATTCATAGCATTTTATTAATTTAAAAACACCAGGAGCAAAATATATACAACATAAATTCAATTTTCATAAAGTCAAACAAACAAACAAAAAAAAACCCTCTATGTTTGAAGATGCATAACTATATAGCAAAAATATAAAGACAGGCGCAAGAGCAAAAACCACCAAACTCACCATTGCATTCACATACGCAGAGGAGAGAACAGGATCAGGGAAACGCATGTGGAGAGTCCCAACTTTACCAATAGCATTTACTTCTTCCTTTTCTCCCGAAAAAGATGTTCAGTAGTAGATATATATATATGTGTGTGTGTGTGTGTGTACAATCTAATGAACATTACGTGTGTGTGTGTACACACACGTAATGTTCATTAGATTGTTTTATTTATGCTTAAAATATTTCACAATTAAGTAAAATTATGGGAAAAAGAAACTTTAAAAATTAGATGTTATATTTAACAACACTGAAAAAGCATAGGTTTTTCTCTCCTTTTTCAAAATTTAGAATTCATTTAAAGAATAAAAAATTCATATATACCTTCACACAGTACCATGCCTGTGTCCCAGACCTATTTTCCCCAAATCTCACAAAAGTCCACAAACACCAAACAGCAGCACTGGCCTCAGAGAGCCTGCGGCTCCATGCCTGGCACACGGGGTGTGTGCTGGTGGCCCCACCACGGTCACGAGCAGCAGAGATTCTTGAGCAGAAACGTGGACTCCACTGAGCAACCACCAGCCCACCAGAAGTGGCAGCTCACCCGGGCTCACATCCTGGTACCCACAAAACTGACAGCCGGCCTGGGTCACAGCATTGCCCCTCCCAGGCGCCTTCAAACCCAGCACAAGCGGCAACCAGCTGCAGATCACTCTGTGGTCCCTAAGAGGCCCTAAGCCCAGCGCAAACGGAGGCTGACACTGATCTGCGCAGCGACCCCTTCCAAAAGGTTCCACAAACATCACACCTGGTGGCAGGCTTCAAACCACAGCAGAGCACCACCCACCAGCCCCACAAATGACACTCCACAGTCCAAACTTAGCTGACGAGAGAACACTGCCAATGCAACGCCCACTCCGTGGAACTAGCAGCCAGGCTGCACCTTGTGCTCTGCAGTCACGGGCCACCCTCACGGCCAGTCAGCCGAGGGGCATCCACCCCAACCACGGCTGCCAACAGCAGCTGGGGCTTGACCACAACAGGAAGGCACATAGAGCCCACAGAGGGGAAACCCCAGGAGCATCAGCTGGGTAATCAGGGAAACTGCACCACTGGGCCCCACAGGGCACCTCATGTATAAGGCCACTGTGTCGAGACTAGGAGACAAAGAAACACGTCCCAAATGAGAGAACAGAATAAAACTCCAGAAAAAACTACATAAAATGGAGACAAGGAATCTACCAGTTATAAGGATGCTCAGTGATCTCAGGGGAAGAATAGCTGAACACAGGGAGAACTTCTACAGAGAGACAGAAAACATGGATAAGGACAGAGGAAACATAAGAAGAACTAGTCAGAAGTGAACAGGAGAACTGAAGAATGCACAGGCTGGACGAATCAGAGGTCTGGGAGACAAGATAGCGGAAAACACCCCATCATAATGGCAAGAAAAAAAGAATTTAAAAAAATGAAGACAGTCTGAGTGACCCGAGACATCAAACACCAATATTCTCATCATACGGGTATAAGAAGGAGGAGAGAGAGAGAGCGAAAAATTAAAAACCTATTTGAAGAAATGACTGAAACCCTGGTGAAGAAAACAGACATACAAGACCAGGAAGTGCAGAGCCCTAAATTAGATGAACAAAACATGGCCTGCACCAAAACACAACATAATTAAATGCCAAAGGTTAAAGACAAAGAATCTTAAAGCAACGAGATAAGGGCAGTTATATACAAGGGTTCTCCCATAAGACTGTCAGCTGATTTCTCAACAGAAACCTCGCAGGCCAGAGGGGCTGGCATAAAATATTAAAGTGATGAAAACAAGGACCTGCAACCAAGATTACTCCACCCAGCAAAGCTATTATTTAGACTCGAAGGACAGATAAACAGCTTCCCAGACAAGAAGATGATGAAGGAGTTCATCATCACTAAACCACTATGATAAGAAATGCAAAAAGGACTTCTTTAAGAAGAAAAGATCAATATAAAAAAATATGTAGGCAAGAATAAAATTGTCACTGACAAAGGCAAACAATAAAAGCTATAGACTTACCAACTATAGAAAAAGTAAAAGGAAAAAGACAAAAGTTGAGAGATCATGTATAAATTTAGGAATACATGCAAACAAAACTCACAAAAGAGGTAAAAATAATGACAAAAACATATAAGATGTGAGTAAAAATTGTAGTGATTTTAGAATTTGTTCGCATTTTAAAAACTCCAACTTAAACCCCAACTATGTTATAGACTGCTATAAACATACATGTTTATTGGTATATATGAGGCACATGGTAACCACAAGTGAAAAATCTGTAAGAGACATATGAAAAATACAGAGAAAAGACTACAAATACAATAAAGTCATCACCATATAAGAGAAAAAAACATGAGAACAAGAAACAAAGAACTACAAAAACAATCAGAAAACAATTAACAAAATGGCAATAACCACATACCTATCAATTACTTCAAACATAAATGGACTAAATGTAACAATAAAAAGACCTAGGTTGGCTGAGTGGACTATAAAACAAGCCCAGATAGGTGGCTTGGTTTGCTGGAGCATTGTCCCATTTGCCAAAGGGTTACGGGTTCAATCCCCAGTCAGGGTGCGTACAGGAGGCAACCAGTCAATGTTTCTCTCTCTCTCTTCCTCTAACAATCGATAGAAAGATGTACTTGTCAGGCCAGTGTGTCTCAGTGGTTGAGCGTGGACCCTGCACCAAGAGGTCGCCAGTTTGATTCCCTGTCAGGAAACATGCCCAGGTTGTGGGTCTGATCCCCAGTGGGGGACATGCAGGAGGAGGCCAATCGATGTTCTCTCTCATCAATGTTTCTATCTCTCTCTCCCTCTCCCTTCCTCTCTCTAAAATCAATAAAGCGGAAAAATTTAAAAGAAAAAAACATATACTCAGGTGAGAATTAAAAGAAAAAAAGACCCATACATATACTGCCTTCAGAGACACACTTCAGAAAGAAAGACAGAGTCAAGGAATGCAAAAACATATTTCAGGCAAATTGAAACAAACAAAAAGCTAGCATAGCAATACTTATATGAGACTAAACAGGCTTTAAAACAAAGGCTATAATGACAGACAAAGAAGAATATTACATACTAATAAAGGGATCCATCCAACAAAAGGATAGAATTCTTGCAAATATCGTTGCATCAAAGGTAGGAGCACTAACACACAACAAATACTGACAGACATAAAGGGAGAGAGTGACAAAGAGGCAGTAACAGTAGGGTACTTGAGCCCGGCCTGGTGGCTCTGTGGATTGAATATCGTCCCGTGGACTGAGAGGTCCCAGCGTGACTCCCGTCAGGGCATATGCCAGGGCTGCGGGCTCGATCCCCAGCAGGCTGCTTGCAGGAGGCAGCCAGTCCATGTTTCTCTCTCACATCGATGTTTCTATTGCTCTCTCTAAACAATCAATTAAAAAAAAACCATACAACATGGTCAAGTGGATTTATTCCTGGAATGCAAAGCTGTTTCAACATCAAGTAATCAGAGTGATACCACACATAAACAAAATGAAGGATAAAAATCACATGATCTATCAATACATGTGGAAAAATCCAACATCCACTTATGATTAAAAACTCTCAGCAAAGCAGGGGTACACAGAACATACCTCAACATAACAAGAGCCATATATGACACACCCACAGCTAACATACTCAACGGGGAAAAGCTGAAAGCTTTCTTCTCTTCAGGATCAGGAACAAGACAACGGTGCCCACTTGCCCACCGCTGTTCAGCGTAGTACTGGAAGTCCTAGCCACAGCCATCGGACAATAGAAAGAAATAAAAGGCATCTAATTTGAAAAGGAAGAAGTAGAACAATCATTACAGAGAACCCTAAAGATTCTGCAAAAAAACAATCAGAACTAATAAATTAATTCAGTAAAGTAGCAGAATACAAAATTAATATTCAGCCATGGGTTGCATTTTTTTTAAAATCCTCACCCAAGGATATTTTTCCATTTATCTTCAGATACATTGGGAGGGAGGGAAGGGGAGAGAGAGAGAGAGAGAGAAACACCGATATGAGAGAGACACATCGAATGGCTGCCTCCTGCACAACTCCAACCAAGGCCAGGGACCAAACTGCAACTGAGGTACGTGCCCTTGACATGAATCGAACCTGAGACTCTTTGGTCTGTGTACAGAAGCTCTAACCACTGAACAAAACCAGCCAGGGCTGGTTGCAATTTATACACCAATAACAAACTACCAGAGAGAGAAACTTAGAAACAATCCCAATCACAATTGCATTAAAAATAATAAAATACCTAAGAATAAATTTAACCAAGGAGCCCAGCCAATGTGGCTCAGTGGTTGAGCGTCGACCCCCGCACCAAGAGGTCACTGGTTCGATTTCCAGTCAGGGCACATACCCATGTTGTGGGCCTGATCCCCAATGGGGGCATGCAGGAGGCAGCCAATCGTTGTTTGCTCTCATATATGTTTCTATCTCTCTCTCCCTCTCCCTTCCTCTCTCTGTAAAAATCAATAAAGGAAAAAAAAAATTAAATTTAACCAAGGAGGTAAAAGATTTGTATTCAGAAAAGTATAAAACATTGAAGAAATTGAACAAGATACAAATCAGTTGAAGCAAATACCGTGCTGAAGGACAGGAAGAATTAACATCTTTAAAATGTCCACAGTACCCAAAGCCACTCACGAGATTCACTGTACTCCCTAAAAAAATACCAATGGCATTTATCACAGAACTAAAACAAATAATCCTAATTGTATATGGAAGCACAAAATTCAAGCCTAAATAATATTGAGAAAGAACAAAGTTGGAGGTATCACACTAATATAGATATCCAACTATAATTATAAGGCTATAGTAATCAAAACAGCATGGTAATGACATAAAAACAGACACATAAATCAATGGAACAGACTAGAGCCCAGAAAAAAAAAAAAAACATAACTATATGGTTAATCAATCTACAACAAAGGAGGCAGGAATATATAATGGAGTAAAGACAGTCTTTTCAATAAATGCTGCTGGGAAAACTGGACAAACACATGCAAAAAAAATGGCACTAAACTACTTTCTTACACCACATAGAAAACTAAACAGAAAATGGATTTAAGACTTAAATGTAAGATCTAAAACTGTAAGTCCCTAGAAAAAAGCACAGGCAGCAGACTATTCGACATCACTCTAGCAATTTTTTTTTGGATATGTCTTCCCTGGCAAGGCAAACAGAAGAAAACAAACAGGACTACATCAAACCACAAAGTGCTTCCACAGAGAGGGGAACCATCAACCAAACAAAAATACATCCTACTGAATGGGAGAAGATATTCGCCAATGACACATCCAGTAAGGGGTTCATACCCAAAATACATGAGGAAGCCATACAACTGAACACCAAAAGAACAATACAATGCAATTTAAAAATTGGCAGAGGACCTGAACAGACCTTCTCCAAAGAGGGCATAGAGATGGGTAATCGATATATTAAAAGATCACCTATCATGAGGGACATGCAAATTAAAAGCACAATAAAGTATCACCTCACACCTGTCAGAATGGATACCGTCAATCAATCACCAAACAAGTGTTGGGAGGATGTGGAGAAAAGGGGACCCTTGGCATTGTTGGCATGATTGCAAACTGCTGCAGAAATTATGAAAACCAGTATGGAGACTCCTAAAATTAAAAACAGAAGTAGTATAGGACCTATCGATTACAGTTCTGGGTATTTACCTGAAGAAATCCAAACCACTAATTCGGAAAGACACATGCACCCATGTTCACTGCAGTGTGGTTTACAACAGCCCAGACAGGGAAGCAGCCCAAGTACCCATCGTCAGATGAAGGAAAAAGATGTGGAACACAAATAAACTGACTATTACTTGGCCATAAGAAAAGAATGAAATGTTACCATTTGAGACAACATGAACAGACTTACAGGGTATTAAGCTAAGTGAAATAAGTCAGACAGTGAAAGACAAATACCATCTGATTTCACTTATCTGTGCAATCTAAAAAAACACACAAAATAAATGAACAAAATAGAAAAAAATTCATAGATACAGAGAATAAACTGATGGTTGCTGGATGGGAGGGGACATCCGGAGACGGATGAAAAGGTGAAGGGACTGAGAAGTACAGACTGCCACAGGCATACAAACTGCGGCCCAGAGAATACAGTCAGTCTTACTTTAATAACTATGTACGGTGTCAGCTGAGTATTAGACTTATCGAAGTGATCACTTTGAGATCTATAAATGTCTAACACTATTTTGTATACCTGAAACTAATATAATATTGTATGTCTACTACAATTTTTAAAAATTATTTTAAAGAAAAAGGTGAAAGGGATTAAGAAGCACAAGTTGCCAGTTGTAAAAATAATCACGGGGGTACGAAGCACAGCATAAGGAATATAGTCAATAACACTGCAATGACTACGTATGGTGTCAGGCGGTACTAGTTAAGATGATCACTTCATAAGGGATATAAATGTCTAACACTATGTTGTACACCTGAAACTAGACACTACTGTATGTCAACTGTTTTTGAAAAATAAATTTCTAAGGAATGAAATGCAAGTAAAGCATTCTTGGAAACAGGAACACTCACAGCACACCTGCAATGTGGTCATTAGAGCAGCCTCGAAAAAGAGGCATTTCATGTTTCCTTCTCTTCAAATCTCCAAAAGTTATAACCTGCTTTTAGCCACATGGTAAAAACCGCCCTATTCAATTGCTTGGTACCAGTGATTGGTCAACTAGTGGAAAAGAGCAGTTCAAGTAAAGAACTGTTAACACACACACACACACACACACACACACACACACAAACTTAATTTCAATTCAAAAGGACTAAATGTACATTTATTTGCCAATTTTTAAATGTAGGATTAAGGTCTTTTCTTTAAGTAAGAATGTGCTGCTAATGGAAGTGCCCTATACTTTTTCTTGTATGAACTATACTAAAATAAAGTACATCAGCTATGATTTATTTCCTGTTTTACTTTCCTGACAGTGGAACAAGAAGCAAGGACACTCACTAGCCTCTGCTTTTTCCCAAATAGCTAACAGCTGTTTTTCATCCACATCTAATTTGACAGCAATTTCTTAAGAGTCAGTTTCTATTCATGTGTCCCAGGCAGACACACCTCGGTCTTCACAAAAATGTTCATACTCATATTTCATTGATTTTCATAACATTTAACTAAACTACACAGTCGCCCCGTTGATCACGGTCAATCGGTCCCAGGCTCTGCGCGGTGAAGGGCTTTCCGCCGAGCAGGAGTCTCCACCCATCGTACAGTCGGCCCTCGGCCCTCGCCGCTTCCCACATCCGCGTTCGCAGCTTCACCCTGTCGCGGTTTTTTCAAATTCTATATACTATATATACTCTACACTATATTTGAAAAAGCTATTATTTGCAAGCTTTGCGTCAGCCATTATATTAAAAACCATTCATTAAAAATCTTATAAAAGTATTTCCTATCTTAACTTCAAAATTAGAACTACACATAGAGTTTGGCAGAAAAAAGTGAAAAAGTCTTTGAGTTGCAGGAATAATTTCAAATATTTCTGGAAGAAATCTTCTACTTGTAAGATCATATGCATGACTGAGATAAGCTTTGCAAATAAGCACATCTGGAAAATTATCTGCTCATGTGAACTTAAATGTATCCTGAACAAATTTAAATATTCCACATACAAAACAAGTTAACAAGGTAACTGCAAAACCAGAACTATGAGATACACGAGTTGGATTCTTTTTCCTCTCTAAAAGGACTACTTAAGGACTTCTCTGAAAATATTTTGAATATTTGAAAAGGTGCTTGAAAGATCTGATTTTTCACAAGAATTTTTCCAAATTGCATGACAGCAAAAAATATATGAAAAAACCCTTCTCCACTTTAACATCAACTAATAAATAACTTGACAAACTAAGGAGAGATTCTAAGTATACTTTAGATGGTTTCTTGAAATAAAAGTCCTAATTTTTATTAGTATTTACCTGTAGACCAAAGTTGACCATTAACTATCTTCTGATCCTTCCAACTACAAATACTTTCCAGTTAGGAATCTTGGTACTTGTTAACATCAAAATCTTTAAATAGAACTGTCATTATGACACTAAATCTCATCTTAGTTGTACATCAAGCAATGTCCATACAAATATCCCTTTATTGCTGACTAAAACACACAAAGAACTGATTTTCAAGCAGATATTTCTGTAAATCAAAGGATGCATTACCATATTTCATTTTAAATATTTTTAAATTGAATAACAGTTTGTAATTTTTACTACCATTGCCTTCTATACATGGCAAAATACTGGTTTCTATTTATAATAATAGTTTCTTTTGAAAATAAATTTTTAACTTAAAAAGTAATGCTAAAGAAAACATTAAGTAACTGATGGTTCAGGGATTATATGATTATGGCAAATCATTAAAGTAGTATCCAATAGCCTCAACATGCATTCAAGGCCACTTTAATTGTCCTTCCAGTCTCTTTTCTCACCACAACCTGGTAATGTACCACACAAGAAACCAATGTCCATTCTGTGACCCACATCATCACCTCCAACATCACTACCATCTCCTACACACACACACACACACACACTCACTCACTCAACTCTTCACTTTTATGGGGGCTCTACACTAAGATATCTTCCCTAACCTTGTCCTCAACACTATATTATGTTACTAGAGACTTTGTCTTATTCATTTATGCATCTTTCTCTGGGTGCCAGCCTATTTATTCAAAAAATAATTTTTGGAAGAATGGCTCTTAAATTTTACTCTGACTTGACAAGTTTGTA